AGAAATACGTACAAAAATAAAGGATAAAAGTATATCTTCTATAGTCGAAATACATACATAGCAATACGTACGTACTACATATATAGTAAAAAAAAAAAATATTACATATGTCAAACAGGTGTAAAATAAATAAATAAATATTCTGGTTTAGTTATATAATCAAGATCGTCCAATCGCAATTGCGTTGAGTCTAAGATCTAACGAAGCCATCGAGATTGGGTCAGATTAGAACAGCACGTTAATTTCTTTAGACATAATAGGTGAAAAACCTTAGCGAATGCAAGAACGCCCATTAGCTTCTTTAATTTCTTAAAGCAAAACATTAGTTAACACATTTTGCACCACACAGACTTCTTTAGATCTAGTTAGAAAATACTGGAACACGCTGACTCTAGAGCTGTGTTGTTGGAACTTTTAGTTCAATTGACGATACTGACCTAGGCATAGCAAAAGATACTTTGAAGTAAAGGAACAGTTTTTATGTGCCTGTTTTTAGCCTAGATGATCATTGATTTAGTTAATTACCCATATAATGCGTTATTTTAGCTTCTGAAAGAATGAATACAGTCAGAACTCCGTAAATGCACTGCTGTTGGGACTATAGGAAAAAATTTTGAAATAGTGCACTTAGACAGTATGTGCATTTATAGAGTAGAAATGATATATAGCTTTTATGGGTTGGGACCAGGCTATACTGTGCATTTAGAGAGTTTTTATTTAGTCCGTGCATTTATGGAGTTCTGACTAAATATATTTTGTAAGAATCAACGCTGATTTCTTTGTACCTTAAATAGCTTAATAGTAATAATCTTGGATTAAAGAAGGAAAAGCGTTGGCAGGTATGTATTGCAAGATCAGAATTAAGCAAGATGAGAGTTTTTACTTAGTCTGTGCATTTATGGAGTTCTGACTAAATATATTTTGTAAGAATCAACGCTGATTTCTTTGTACCTTAAATAGCTTAATAGTAATAATCTTGGATTAAAGAAGGAAAAGCGTTGGCAGGTATGTATTGCAAGATCAGAATTAAGCAAGATGAGAGTTTTTACTTAGTCTGTGCATTTATGGAGTTCTGACTAAATATATTTTGTAAGAATCAACGCTGATTTCTTTGTACCTTAAATAGCTTAATA